GGTCCTATATACACGGTATAGTTGGTAGTTGTACATAAGGTCCTATATACACAGTATAGTTGGTAGTTGTACATAAGGTCCTATATACACGGTATAGTTGGTAGTTGTACATGAGGTCCTATATACACGGTATAGTTGGTAGTTGTACATAAGGTCCTATATACACGGTATAGTTGGTAGTTGTACATAAGGTCCTATATAGTTGGTAGTTGTACATAAGGTCCTATATACACGGTATAGTTGGTAGTACATAGGTCCTGGTAGTTGGTAGTTGTACATAAGGTCCTATATATATACACGGTATACATAAGTTGGTAGTTGTAGTTGTACATAAGGTCCTATATACACGGTATAGTTGGTAGTTGTACATAAGGTCCTATATACACGGTATAGTTGGTAGTTGTACATGAGGTCCTATATACACGGTATAGTTGGTAGTTGTACATAAGGTCCTATATACACGGGTAGTACATTCCTATATAGTTGTACATACAGGTCCTATATACACGGTATAGTTGGTAGTTGTACATGAGGTCCTATATACACGGTATAGTTGGTAGTTGTACATGAGGTCCTATATACACGGTATAGTTGGTAGTTGTACATGAGGTCCTATATACACGGTATAGTTGGTAGTTGTACATAAGGTCCTATATACACGGTATAGTTGGTAGTTGTACATGAGGTCCTATATACACGGTATAGTTGGTAGTTGTACATAAGGTCCTATATACACGGTATAGTTGGTAGTTGTACATGAGGTCCTATATACACGGTATAGTTGGTAGTTGTACATAAGGTCCTATATACACGGTATAGTTGGTAGTTGTACATAAGGTCCTATATACACGGTATAGTTGGTAGTTGTACATAAGGTCCTATATACACGATATAGTTGGTAGTTGTACATAGAGGTCCTATATACATATAGGTCCTATATACACGGTATAGTTGGTAGTTGTACATAAGGTCCTATATACACGGTATAGTTGGTAGTTGTACATAAGGTCCTATATACACGGTATAGTTGGTAGTTGTACATAGGTCCTATATACACGTATAGTTGGTAGTATATACACGGTATAGTTGGTAGTTGTACATAAGGTCCTATATACAGTTGGTAGTTAGTTGGTAGTTGTCCTATATACACGGTTGGTAGTTGTACATATATATATACACGGTATAGTTGGTAGTTGTACATAAGGTCCTATATACACGGTATAGTTGGTAGTTGTACATAAGGTCCTATATACACGGTATAGTTGGTAGTTGTACATAAGGTCCTATATACACGGTATAGTTGGTAGTTGTACATAAGGTCCTATATACACGGTATAGTTGGTAGTTGTACATAAGGTCCTATATACACGGTATAGTTGGTAGTTGTACATGAGGTCCTGTATATACACGATATAGTTGGTAGTTGTACATAAGGTCCTATATACACGGTATAGTTGGTAGTTGTACATAAGGTCCTATATACACGGTATAGTTGGTAGTTGTACATAAGGTCCTATATACACGGTATAGTTGGTAGTTGTACATAAGGTCCTATATACACGGTATAGTTGGTAGTTGTACATAAGGTCCTATATACACGGTATAGTTGGTAGTTGTACATAAGGTCCTATATATACACGGTATAGTTGGTAGTTGTACATGAGGTCCTATATACACGGTATAGTTGGTAGTTGTACATAAGGTCCTATATACACGGTATAGTTGGTAGTTGTACATAAGGTCCTATATACACGGTATAGTTGGTAGTTGTACATAAGGTCCTATATACACGGTATAGTTGGTAGTTGTACATGAGGTCCTATATACACGGTATAGTTGGTAGTTGTACATAAGGTCCTATATACACGGTATAGTTGGTAGTTGTACATAAGGTCCTATATACACGGTATAGTTGGTAGTTGTACATGAGGTCCTATATACACGGTATAGTTGGTAGTTGTACATAAGGTCCTATATACACGGTATAGTTGGTAGTTGTACATAAAGCCCCTATATACACGATATAGTTGGTAGTTGTACATGAGGTCCTGTATATACACGGTATAGTTGGTAGTTGTACACAAAGACCTATATACACGGTATAGTTGGTAGTTGTACACAAACCGCCTCCGTGGTGTAGTTGTTAGAGCGTCCGCTCGGAGAGTGGAAGGTCGTGGGTTCGATCCCCGACCGCGTCATACCAAAAGACGTTAAAATATGGTACTTGTTGGTCCCTGCCTGGCGCTCGGCATTAATGGGCACGATAAGGACTGGTCGGCTCGGAGTCAGTATAATGTGTCTGAGTGGGGTATTCATGCTTCACTGCGGCATGGTATCTCAGTGGGCTAGCACTATATAACCAGCTTAAGTCTGGGCTAGTACAAGCAGCCGCACATACACATACACACGCATGAACGTCGTCATATGAGCGAAGTATTCTCAAGCACGACGTAAAACCCAATTTCACCTCACCTCACCTCACCCAGTTGTACACAAAGCCCTATATACACGGTATAGTTGATATATACTATATAGTGCCATATCACTGAAAGACAATCCAGTGCAATCCACATGCAGTGGGTGTTTACAAGCAGTATAGATACAAGACAACGCCAATGCTATGTAATCCACGTGTAGTGGGTGGTCTGAAGCAATAGATACAAGACAACGTACGCTTGTCAACAAATACAATTCGGGCACAATTCACCTGTTACTAACATGTGAAGACATGTCTCCAAACACGATTATCTGGGGCAGGTTATGATTATACATTAAATTCAAAAGTTTCGAATACCATGACTGTCACACGTACAAAGGAAAATATACATCTTCCTGAAAAATGTTATTCCACAATAATACTCCGTGGAGGGGATTATGTGGTACTGCATATGAAGAATAAGGGCGTCGGCGGCAACTGTAAAGTCTTGTGAAAAATCAACATAACACCATCCCGCCAATCCAAGAGTGGATTAATTATCAATGAAGAAAGTGAAAATCCGTGTTGTGCCGATGTCCAGAGAAACACGGGATGTCTTTGACCATATAAGCTGACCCTTTGTGTGTTAATTGCAGGGAAAGCAATCTGACAGAGAACAAAAGCCCGGTACACTCAGTGGATTATCAGGGGTAGTGATAAAGCTTAACGCTTGAACGGGGAAGTTATTTCTATTGTTTAATTGTAGGGATTACAAGCAGTGTTGTAAATATTAGATGTGTGGATGTGATAGCAAGTCACGACTTCAGACAGAAATACCTCAGGTTGGTGGAACCGTTACACACGACAGATAGAACCAGTTCCACTACCGGTAGTCTGTCACAGTCCCTGAACCACATTATTTTCCCTACATCCTAGCCCTTCCTGCAATGCTAAAGCCCTAAATGAAGCAAGTCTAGATTTCCCCAGGTTCAGGACCTCTGAATCTGTGGTCTCTTTGTGGCTCCTTTTCAATTTAAATGTTTTTTGTTTTTGTGTTACAATCAAAATTTAATAGTATGTATTCAGGGACTAAGCGTTACTCTTTAAAGGTAGTGGCAGTCACGGCGGGTGCAGACAAATGTTATATATTGAGACAATATAGACAGACTAATGTTGGAACGAGTTTGCAATGAACACCTAATCGAAACTGTGAAACATGTTGTGATCCGTATTTATTGTACATTTCATGATGAATCAGGTTTGAGCAGGATGCAGTTCAAGACAGAGCTGTTGGGTACAAGTGTACCATAACGGTTAGTTTGAACAATTATATTTACACACACATGGTATTTATTTCCCTATGACACGACTACAAAAGCCTAAAACTCATCCTATTGTTTCTTTACATGTATGTTCACACGGTCACGGATGAAAGGGTTGAAACAGAGAAACATGAATCTGGTGCATCCTAGTCGGATGCCACAAAGACTGTCTTACAGAAATAGAATCTTTCCGCGAATTCGCAAATAGTGACAAGGAAGTGCGCCATTTCAAACATCGAAACTGTTATCACGTTAAGTGTGTGTGTGGGGGAGGCTGGTGTGTGTGTGTGTGTGTGTGTTTGTCGGGGGTTTTGGTGGGGAAGCGTTATATCTACATTATACGCTAACCGATATGTATTGATTCGTGCGTGTCTGCTGTTAGCACCACGGCCCTGTTTGTTTGTGGTAATGAAACATATTGGTATTGATTGATGATCTGTCATGCATGCAGGTATTTCACGTGATAGAGCTGATCTCATCTCTTACCTTGACTTGTGTCAAAAGCAACATAAATATTTAAAGCCAAAGCCATAACTGTGGTTAAAAAGATATAATCAATAATAAATCGACTAGGATCCGCAATAGAATAGACACTCTCGGGATGCAGAATCCTCCCCCAACCCCCTCCCAGAGACATTCCATAATGCATTACGCTGTCAATACTGTTTTGATGTGCCGCTCCCTCCCACACCTCGCCCCCTCCCTCTCAACGCTCTATCCGTGAACCCGGGAGCCACCTTGGACCCAACAGGTTGCTTAGCCGTAATCTCCCGTTCTCGTGCCATGCTGCTTTTCATCGCTGTGGAGACATTTTCCCACGGCCAAACACAAAGCGATCTCGCATTCCGATGAACGACGGTGTAGGCGAGCCGTATCGCAGTCGCGGGCCACCACACAAACGCATTGTGTTCAAGTATGCCTTATCGCAACCACTGTTTACATAACAATTCGACCATTAAGGGAGAGAGACGAGGGGCGTGGTTTTCCCACACTGCTTCCAAACCACAACATAATCCGCCTGGCACGTGCGACTGTTTAGTTGACGTCCGGTGTGTCGCTTGATTGACGGCTGTAATGAACATCCACGAGAACATCTGGCTCTTAGCCAATCAGCGCACGACGGTCACAAGCCTTGCGGCTCGTCTCGTGCGGTCGTCCGCGAGCTGGGTGCTGATTGGCTAGAGCTCACCCGGTTCAGAGCGTGGGAAAGGGCTGAATCGTGTCTTCACATCAACTCCGGGCATGTGTCATGGGGTATAAATACGAAAATTCCTCCACAGGTTGTTATTTCTCGGCGACATTCCGTCATAGCACACTCCCTTCGATTTTGTCCCCGAATCATTCCTCCATATCACACCATGGCTGATATTGCCGTATCTTCTCACAGGAAGGACCCTTCTATCAGAAAGGTGAGTTGTCAATATTAATTTTTTTTCTTTCACAGTTGTTGACACCTGTTGAATAGCAGTTTACCTGTTGAATGATGACGTGTTCCGTGGACTTATAAATTTGAACAGGATTAATGATTGACAGGAAGAAAGAAATCTTCCCATTACAAAATTCTTTTATTGGTGGTTTTTAACTTCATTGATTTTTCTCGAGCCAGTTTCAGCACGTTTGTTCTGCGTGCCATTTGTTTATATTTCCACTTTAGCCTACAATGTGTCATTTACATTACAGAGCAACAAACCATTGATGGAAAAGAAACGAAGAGCAAGAATCAACAATTGTCTGTCGCAGCTGAAGACTCTCACACTACAAGCACTTAAGAAAGATGTAAGTATCCTGGTGTTGTTGACGTGTTAACAGATTGCCACTTATACAAGATGCATATCCTTGACACACACACACGATACGCATTGTTTTTATATTGTTTACATACTGCAGTAATTTATTAATGTCAATACTAAAAAAATATGAGTACTTATTTCTCCCTTTTAACTTTTCAGAGCTCACAGTTTTCCAAGCTGGAGAAGGCCGACATATTGGAGTTGACGGTTAAACATCTGAGAAACCTACAACGTCAACAGATATCAGCTTCCATGGCAACCGATACCTCAGTGATGGGCAAATACAGAGCTGGTTTCAATGAATGCGCAAACGAAGTGATGCGGTATTTGAGTTCCAGTCACGACATCAACGGCGATGTACGAAGTCAGCTGATCAACCACCTCGCCAACTGCCTCCAAGCAGTCAACAGTGTACAGACACCGGACTCCATACACCAAAGATGTCTCCAGCCAATCAGCGTTCAGATCCCATCCTCTGGACAGGCAACCCACAACACACCTCCGTCCATGACGACAGCATCATCTCACCCGCAGACACCTGTTGCATCAACACCCATCATCCCGTCACCGACATCCACACCATCAACCAGTCCTGTTCAACTCGCAGGGGCTTTCCATATCATGCCAGGCAACATGTGCAACGGAAGCGCTGTGGCCGTGTATCTAGGCAACCAGAACTCTCACTCCGTGCCAGTGTACTCTCTTCACGTTCCCCAGACAGACAACGGTGTTACCACATTTGTGCCTTCCCCCACAGGTTCCTCCCAGTCCCCCACCTCCCCAACTCAACTCTTCTACAGTGAACGAAAACACAGTGACTCTCGTTTCACCCCTTACACCACAAGTCCCACGTGCTCCCCGTCGCCGTCTAAGGTCAAGGAGGAATGCGTGTGGCGGCCATGGTAACAACCTACCGTGTTCATATTATCACAAAGTGCCTACAAACTCTTGGATTTACATCGTTGACTATTCCGTGCCATGATATCTCATTCCAATCTTCTGGACTTTCCACTTTTGTTGAAGCAGAACTGTGCGAGTGAAGTCTGCAGGCCATTCCTTATGGCCGTGCCGTTCATTGAACATTCATTCATACCTTGGTGCATATGACAGTATTTTTTGTTACAAATCAAATAGCATTTACTGTTTTGTTATTAAAAAATTGAAACTAAAGCATTTCGTCTTGTCATGGTATATACATGGTCACTTATATTGCTGTGTCACGTCTGTGGATCTCACACTACAAGCATTGTTTGTATATTGCTATATCCATGAACCACAATCATTGCTACATTGGGTGAATATGTTTGTATTGGTAAACAGACCAATCCTTGGTCAACCATCCCGACATACATACAATGTTCATGACAAATGCGACACAACTAAAGACATCTAGAAATGTCGTGTGCGAACTGCGAACGTGACTTCTGGTGAACTGTCACGATGTCACACCCAAATTCCAGGGTGTTACCTTTCAGCATAAGTCAGCCCGACTTCTCACTGAAGAAAGTAGGACCACCATCACCATGCGAGTTGAACAATATCGCCAAGTAGTTGGTTTCCGATTTGGTCGTAACGTGGTGATTAACCACACCAGCACGAGTCGTGCCGTTCTAATAGGTCCACCATCTCCCCGCAGACATGTCGGACTTGAGAGGGTGTCCTCAATGTGCATATATATGGGACTGGCACTTCTTGTGACGTGCATGACGGCAGGGAGGGGGGATCACATTGCCGACAATGCATTCAAATCCGGATGCTCTGTGGAACTGACAGTCATTAACTGCACCAGAGCGACTGTCGGCACGTCAACACCACGTTCCGCTGGCGCTTAGACGCCGGCGGGGAATAGGGTTCGCACAGTGCTCGTTGATAGATATTATACGGCGCTTCATATAATTACCTCGTTAATACACACACGCACGATTGACCTGGAAAATGTTTCAAATATCAGATGCGGATGAAGGAAAACTTAAGCTACTACATAACTATAATGTTTGAAGGTTTTCGGAATGTCTTTTTCTGTATCTTAAAACTTAATAATCTCATCACCATAAACTACAAAACAACTCGCTTCAGTTATTTTCAAACCGCCGTGGTTCAGCTGGAATACTACCGAGTATTTGACGTTTGACACCAAAGGGTTAAAACAACCAGTAAAAATCAGATTTGTATATCGGCGACCATATACATGCATACTGTCACCCAGACTCTGTACATACCGGTACTGCTAGTGTCCGCCTTACCCTACCATATCCAATACTGCGTCACTGTAGGGCGTAACTGTATCAATTTAACCCCATACCCCACCCAGGTGAGTGAGTGAGTGAGTTTAGTTTTACGCCACACTCAGCAATATTCCGGCTATATGGCGGCCGTCTGTAAATACTCGAGTTTGGACCAGACAATCCAGTGATCAACAGCATGAGCATCGATCTACGCACTTGGGAACTGATGTGTCAACCAAGTCAGTGAGCCTTACCACCCGATCCCGTTAGTCGCCTCTTACGACAAGCATGGGTTACTCAAGGTTCATTCTAACCCGGATCTTCACGGGTTCCCACCCAGGTGTGTAGCTAAGAGGCGTTGTTGTAGTTCATATATTGCAGCTAGGTGCTGTAGTAGTACCGTCGTTGCTGTTGACATGCTGCTGTTACACAGAACATTCATGAATGCCAGTCCCTAGATCCATTCCTTATGCCATTGATTTTGTCACCAGTAATAATACAAAGCATGACATGGAGCGACATTGACCATTAGACTGGCTGAATATGCCCTGGGTACCCGGTAGACTGGCTGACACTACCCTGGGTACCCGCTAGTCTAACTGACACTGCCCTGGGTAGACTGGCTGGATTATGACCGTGCATAATTACCTACGAGGCTTTCATGTAACGGTATATGTTTCACTAGTAGGTCGATCAGTCCAGGTGTACAATCAAAATGAAGCAAATCTCCAAGCTGCCAGTATAATCGATTACACCCTGACAACAGAAGATGACCGCCAGATGAAATAGGTCCCCTTTACTCACACACTGCGCAGTCAAAGTGATTATAGCAGCTCTTCAGTCAATTTTAGAAAGATCGGCCGAATGACGTCACGTGACATTTTGTAATTAGTCGTTTCGAGCTGTCTGTGGTGTACAACACAAGCAATCTGTGTCTGTGCGCCCTTTGTATTGCTTTCGTTTACATATACTACTGATCGGTATGAAAACAGCTAATACATAACACAAGTGTCCCTTTGTACTGAAAGCGTGGAGCACCAGGAGTAAAGTCAGGCAGCACAGCAATCCCGTTGCTACTGAGTAACCGACCCCTGTTTCTCGCGACCACATGGTTACCAATGTGACTCCATACTACGAAGATATGTTGGCAACTGGTTCGGACGGCAACGTTGACATCCACAAACACACGTTCTGATCCCAGCCGATGTGGTTTCAAAATGCACCAGGATAAAGCCTGGCCCAGCCATCGTCCTTCAGCCAGAGCTTTGTCGCGTGTGGCCCGACCCATGTGATATGTAAGGGAAATATACAAGGAAATTGTCACCGAGTGCAATCGACAACTTATGGTATATATATAGCGTACAATTGAAGCGAGTAATGACATTATCGATAGGCGTAATGACGACTCGGGTATCATGTGTGTGATGGGGGAGAATAAAATAGATGGGGTAATATGTGAAAATGAATTGAATTATAATTTGAGATACGTTCCTGAAGCAATAAGTCCAACTGCCGTCGTTCAAAGTAGGCGTCTCTGCGTGCAACAGGCGACAGTCGTCACGTGCAAGGCAAGCCGCAGGGCGCTGACGATACTCAACCAGGAATGTTCCCCTCGCTTTCCCACGACCTGTGTTTGTAGTGTGATTCACAGGACCGTCACCTCTGACCCCAACTCGTGTCGAAAACGTGGCCGCGGCGTCAGACCCTTGATGGTCATTGAAATTCAGCAGCTGGGTGAAATACGAGCTGGGTTGGAGTGTGGGAGCGGGGGTATCTCTCCTCGCTCCTGTGACGGAATTTGAACGGATTTAGCTGCCTGTCGCTGGATAATAATTTATGACCGTGAAACTGTCCATGTCCTGGTCGTGTCCCCAAACATCATCTGTGCCCCAGTGAGAGGAAGGATGGGGGTGGGGACTGATGCTCGGTGGTTATTACTAGTGTCTGTCGTTGGGATATCTGGGAGAGTATCCTACAGTCGGGCATCAGTCGGGCGACAGCTGTGAGGAGAGTAACCCACAGTCGGGCGATAGCTGTGAGGAGAGTAATTCACAGTCGGGCAACAGTCAGTAACCTACAGTCGGGGAAGAGTAACCTACAGTCGGGGGAGTAACTAACCAACAGTCTGGGGAGAGTAAATATAACCTGCAGTCGAGAGAGAGTAACCTACATTCGAGAGAGTAACCGACTGTCGAGAGGAAAGTAACCTACAGTCGGAGGAGAGTAACCTACAGTCGCGGAAAGTAAACTACAGACGGGGAGAGTAACCTGACAGTCTGGGGACAGTAACCAGTACAATCTGAGGGATAGTAACCTACAGTCTGGGAGAGTAAGAAGTTTACAGTCTGGAGAGTAACTTACAGTCTGGGGAGTAACCTATAAGTCCTGCAGTCGAGAGAGTAACCTACAGTCGAGAGAGTAACCTGCGCTACAGACGGAAAGTATTAAGTAAATCCTAAAGTGCGGAGTAAACTGACCAAAGTAAGGAGCAAGAGTAACCTACAGTCGGGGAAAGAGTAACCTACATGTCGGGAGAGAGTAACCTACAGTCTGGGGAGAGTAACCTACAGTCGGGGAAAGTAACCTACAGTCGGGGAAGAGTAACCTACAGTCGTGGGGAGAGTAACCTACATCTGGGAGAGTAACCTACAGTCGGGGAGAGTAACCTACAGTCTGGGAACAGTAACAGTCTACAGAGTAGAAATTATACCCTGCAGTCGAGAGAGTAACCTACAGTCGGGACAGAGTAGCAACCTACAGTCGGGGGAGAGTAACCTACAGTCCTGCTGTCGAAAGTAACCTACACTGGGAGAGAGTAACCTACAGTCGGGAGACTGTAAACCACAGTCGGGGAGAGTAACCTCCCAGTAAGACTACAGTCAAACCTACAGTCGGGGAAAGTAACCTACAGTCTGGGGAAAGTAACCTACAGTCTGGGGAAAGTAACCTACAGTCGGGGAGAAGTAACCTTACATAGGGGAGAGTAACCTACAGTCGGGGAGAGTAACCTACAGTCTGGGGAAAGTAACCTACAGTCGGGGAAAAGTAACCTACAGTCGGGGGAAAGTAACCTACAGTCAGGGAAAGAGTAACCTACAGTCGGGGAGAGAGTAACCTACAGTCTGGGAAAGTAACCTACAGTTGGGGAGAGTAACCTACAGTCGGGGAAAAAGTAACCTACAGTCGGGGGAGAGTAACCTACAGTCGGGGAGAAGTAACCTACAGTCGGGGAAAGTAAACTACAGTCCGGGGAGAAATAACCTACAGTCGGGGAAAGTAACCTACAGTCTGGGGAAAGTAACCTACACATAACACAAGTGTCCTTTTGTACCTGAAAGCGTGGAGCACCAGGAGTAAAGTCCAGGCAGCACAGTAATCCTGTTATACTGAGTAAATCACCCCTGTATCTCGCGACCGTCATAGTTGACCAATGTGACTCCATACTACGAGAAGATATGTTAAGAACTGGTTCTCGGACGGCAACGCCGAAAGTCACATCCACAAACAATAATGTTCTGGGATCCTAGCGACGTGTGGTTTCAAAATGCACCAGGATAAAGCTCTGGCCCAGCCGCATCGTCCTTCTCAGCCCAGAGCTTTCGCGCGTACAATGGCCCGACCCATGTGATATGTAAAGAGCGAAATGGTACAAGGAAATTGTCACCGAGAGCAATCGACAACCTATGGCATATATATAGCGTACAATTGAAGCGAGAGTAATGTTATCGATAGGCGTAATGACGACTCGGGTTGCATGATTGTGATGAGAGAATAAAATAGATGGGGTAATAGTGAAAATGCACTGAATTATAATTTGAATACGTTCCTGAAACCCAATAAGTCCAGCTGCCGTCGTTCAGTAAGAAGGCGTCTCTGCGTGCAACAGGCGACAGTCGTCACGTGCAAGGCAGAGCCGCAGGGCGCTGACGATACTAAGCTCCAGGA